TTTATGACGTGAATCGTTGTCGTTCGTTCTTTCTCTGCCTTGCCGATCGTATCAAGTTAAAAGGAAACTATATGAAGTGAGAGAATGATGAAGAGAAAAAAAAAAGGAGAACGAGAGAGAAAGAGAGAAAACGAACCGTATTGTTGATGGTAAAAAAGAAAAAGGGAAAAACGATGGTAACAATAAAGTTAAAACCATATTTGTTACCTGAATCATGTATTATGTATACTCACACCTTTCGAACGATTGTCTTTATTCATTCGTTCTGTACTATTTTAACATTCAATTTTATAGTATATATACATATATAGATATATAGATATATATATATATAGACTATTTGAAATACTAATTCTTTACTATATCATAATAAACAAGACGTAAAAAACTATTCTCACTATTTTACTTTTCTTTTTTTTCTCTTCCTTGATGAAAGAGGTAATATTTTTTTTTCTAAGTTATTACTTTTCTTTTTTTTTGCAACCTTGAGTTAGAAAGGATTTGTCTGTGAGTAGATCCATATGGGCACGATACTGAAAAGATTCATTTCTCGCAGGTAAAACGTGTTTGATTCAAGAAAATTTTACTTATTGAAAAAAAAAGAATATGTATTATACCATGATATATATTTTACCATCGGCATCTTTTTTATTTCTTCCAGCAAAGAAAAAAACAAATCAACATAATAACAAAAGACTTGAGACAATTAAATGAATAGAAAGAAGTATCAAAATATTAATTGGCATTGTCGAATGTTTGTTCCTTTTTTTCTTGTTCTTCTTTTTTTTTTTTTGCCGCCTCTTCAAAAAAAAAAAACCTCATGTTTCATTATTATTGTAACTGAGACAACAGCTGCATCGATAATAACAAAACAACAGATGATCGATGAATTTTGTTGGTTTTTTTTTTCGTTGTCATGTTGTTGTTATATAACGACGTCAAACATTCGTAAATCATCTTGTCCTTGCATACTATTTACCCATTATATATAAGAGTTCACTATTAATGAATAAAATAGAGGTATTTCTTTTTACGCCATATATATAAATGTCGCATTAAAACAGTTGCCGCTATATTTGGTTATTACAACGATATACTACTATACACAAACATACTTTGTTCCAGTTCAATAAACACATACGTATTGAATATTTAATACTAGAGGAGTAAATATAAAACACGAGATATGGTATGTTTTTTTTTTTTTTTTTCTTTTTTTATTCTTACTCTAAAACCATGATTAGTCAATGTAATGACACATTTGTAATGGTTTATAATAAATAAAAGCTTCCTCTATTCAAATGAATCATCTAAATCTTTAATAAATATTCAAATAAGATTTATATTATTATTTTTTGTTAATATTCTAGATTTTATTATGGGTGCCCGTATTACACGTTCGGATTTTCGATTTGTTTATACAGATGAACCACATACAACACGTCGAAAAGAAATGCTACGTATGTTTAATTGATCTTCTTTAAACAAAAAAACAAAATAATAACATTTTTATCGGTATTTTATTTTATTTTTGTTTTTTAGAAAAATATCCTCAAATAAAAAAATTAATGGGCTATGATTGGCGTATTGCTGTTCAAGTAGTTGTTACTGTATTAATACAAATAATAATGGCTATTCTAGTACGAGATCTTTCATGGAAATATGTATGGCTATTTACCTATGTTATTAGTGGAACACTTAATCATTCACTTTCAATTAGTTTTCATGAAAGTATGAAATAATAACAAATAAAAAATTTTATGAAAATTATTTTTTGTTTTTTTGAAAATTTTAGTCGGTCATAATTTAGCTTTTGGTAATCATAGACCGATTGCAAATCGTATTCTTGGTTATATAGCTAACCTTCCATTATGTATACCATCGTCAGTTACATTTAAAAAATATCATATTGATCATCATAAGTAAGTTAAAATAAAATTTACAAGAGAAGAATCGCTTTTGAGTCGAAACCTAGACGTATTATATAGATTCAAATGAGTTATGAATTACTGCAAGGATACGGCACTGTTATAACATTTTTTTTGTAATGAATATCGTGTTTCTTCTCAAGAAAATTCTCGAATGTTCTGAGAAGATTCATGACTCAGGAGATCAATTGAAAGATTTTTATCGAATTTCTGAGGAGAGGAATCGAGCGATATTCATAACTCATTTGGATCTACATAATACATATAGTCTTGACTTAAAAGTGGGTATATCAATTGTCGAAATTTGTCTTCTTAGTTATAAAATAAATTGTTTTTGTTTTTCAGATTTCAAGGTGATGATATGCTTGATCCTGATCTACCAACACATTTTGAAGCATGGTTATTTCAATCACGTCTTGGTAAAATTTTTTATATCATTGCTCAACCATTACTTTATGGTGTTCGACCATTATTACGTGTACCAAAGCCAGTAACACTTCTTGAAGTGATTAATCTTTTAATTGAAATTATTTTTGATATTATTGTAATATGTGTACTTGGGAGAAAATCATTTATTTATTTATTATTTGGATCATTACTTGGTCTTGGTCTTCATCCTATTTCAGGACATTTTATATCTGGTTAGATAAAAAATTTTATAAGTTTTAGTTGTTTTAAATAATAGTTTGTTTTTTTTAAAATTTAGAACATTATGTGTTTGTTGAGGGTTATGAAACATATTCTTATTATGGTCCATTTAATTATTTAACGTATAATGTTGGTTATCATAATGAACGTAAGAAATTTTTTTTATTGTAGAAAAAAAAGAACTTTTATTTTATTTTCTTCGTTTTTATTTTTAGATCATGATTTTCCAAATATTCCAGGTTATTCATTACCAAAAGTAAAAAAACAAACATCTGATTGGAATTGTTTTGTAATAAAAATCTTTTGTTTGTTTTGTTTTTTTTTAGTTAAAAAAAATTGCACCAGATTATTATGATAATTTACCATGTCATACTTCATGGATTAAAGTATTAATTGATTTTGTTCTTAATCCAGATTTAGGACCAAAATCTCGTGTACGTCGTACAATACGTTCGAATGCATTAATATTAAATAATGCAATTGATTTAAAAAATAAATCAAAAGTTAATGAAGTTTTACATGATGTTACGGATAATAATAATAATACACAATTATCAAGAGATGAAAGAAAATTAATAAATAAAAAAAAACATTCTGGTAAACAAAATATATCATCATCGATACAATTAACGAATGGTGAACATTTGAAAAATGAATGATAAAATTAAATTAAAAAAAAAAACTCAACAGAAAAAAAAGGCGAAACTGTACGTGTATGTTTTTATGGTTTGTTGTATTCATTTCAGTGGAAGTTTCTTTTTTTGTTTTTTGTTTTTATTGTTGTGACACCGAATGTTTCTTGCAATTGATGACGAAATCTCAGACCTTATGTTTTCTATATTAAGAACATTAATTATCAGGAAGAATAATAAGAATTTAGTTTACTAATATAGCATCCTTTTATCTTTGTTAGATTCGAGTCAGATTTTTAGAAGATCAATTGAGTAGATTTTATACGAGGAAAAAAAAACATTCAGGTTTACTTAAATGTTTTTTGTCGTTCGTCCTTTGATAGTTACATCTTTATGTCTGTATATAAACATAAAATTGTTGCTTGTTTTTTTGTTTTTTAAAATCACTCAAGAAAACGATATTAAATTACCTTTTCCACCCCCTTTTTCGTCACAACAAATTATCACCCTAATTACTAAAATTAGAAATAGTTCAAATAGAAAAAAACAAACAAACTATATTTGTCCTCTGCGTATATGACCAAGTTTTCAATCTCTGAGATATCTGAAGCAGAACGATAATCGGTGTCAATTCAAAAATGCATGAAAAAAAAAATATCCTATGTGACTGCGTTCTTTTTGTTTTATGTTGTTTCGTCAATTTTCTCCGTCCGTACGTATGTGGATATGTATACATAGGTATCGTTCCCCATTTCTTTTTTTTTTTTTTGCTTTGGTTTAGTTCGTTTTTCTGTTATTCTGCCAATAAATAATGAATAAAAAAAGCACTTAATGACACGTCTATTTTTATATACGCACAATAATCTTATTTATATTAGTAGTAGTTTTTGTTCTTCTTCTAGATTCAAGTTACAAATATGATAAATGATGGAAAATTTTGTGAACATATATATATATATTAGTTGGAAACATATAATAAGCGATAAATAGAACAATATACCAACTTAATAGATATTAACAAATAAAAAAAACTATTGTCTCAAAAGAAATATAACTAGAAAATCTAGAGAGATGTCGAACGAGAGAAGTCCTTCAATTGATAAATCGCTATGGATTCGAGACTATGTACATAATGTAGACTCAAATGAACTACGAATACTTTGAAAAGAGTTTGTGCCTTTAACTTATTGTTACAGAGACACTCCACTGTTATGATAATTTTTAAATGAATGTTGTGGTAACAGAAAAACTGATTTTCCAATTTTGACTTGAAATCTTGCATAGTGGCAGGTCTTAACGAGAATAGTTTATTGTAAAATTTTCTGTTCTTCTTGTTGTTCCTATCCTAAGATACAACTATGGTAAAAGTATGGTTCTTACATCGCTCATATAAATCAACAGATTTGATGCTCATATTTCAGGATAGGAGCAAATCAAACGATCTGAAACTACTCTTATTAAAATCTGTCACTATGCAAAGTTTCAAGTTGAAATTTGAAAATCAGTTATTCTGTTATCATGACCTTCATTTAAAAATTATTGTAAAAGTATAATATCTCCGCAACAATAAGCTAAATGCACAAACTCTTTTCAAGATATTTATAGCCAATTTGGATCTATATAATGTCTATATTCTCGGATTAAAAGTGATTTGTCAGTTAGATGACTTCCCTTCATTAGAGTATTCGAAATAAATGAGAAAAAAAACAAGAAAATCTAACACAACGCCAATGATAAAACAAAAAACCGATAATATTAATGAAGAAGCATTGAAAACAAACTTTCATTTTTGTTATTCTTGTTTATTAGATTGATTTACAGTATTTTGTAATTGTTGGTCATATTCTTGTTGATTCGATACTCGCACATGTCCGATTTTTGTTGATCGAGTTATACGTGCCCAAGGATCAACATTATCATTCATAACAAAATCATACAGTATTTTGATCCAACTAACAAGAAAAAGTTTCATAGATACTGAAGTAAGATTTTTTTTTTCGCTAATATTTTAATGTCCTACAAAACATATTCATCAGACATCGTCTAACAATGAACTAATGGTGCAAAATAAATGTTCTATTTGCTCTTCATAAAAGGATCAATTAATCTATCATGATGCAAAATCATAACTATTTCTTATGGACAAGTTAAGAAAATCTTAAAAAGTCTTACATAAAGAAAGTTAACAATATTATAAATGAAATATTCTCCTAATATTCAATAAAGACTTTTCAAAGATAATGTAAAAAATAAATAAATACGAGAAATTTTACCTTGTATAACATGGTAAATTATTATAATATTCTGAAGCAATTTTGTGTACTTTTGGTAAATTTCTACCAGATATATATGAAAAATCATGATTTAAAAAAATAAAATATTATGGAAAAACACTTCCAAATAAAGTTTTTTTTTTGTTTACGTTCATTATGATAACCAACATTATATGTAATAGCATTAAGTGGTCCATAATAAGAATATGTTTCATAACCTTGTTTAAAAACATAATATTCAGCAATAAAATGTCCATATATAGAATGTAATGAAAATCCAAGTATAGTACTTAATAGAAAATATAATGAAGTTTTAATATTAAAAAAAAAATAAAATATTAAACTATTAAATATAAATACAATAATTAAATTAATTAATTCTACATAATGTATTGTATTTGATAAAATAAATATTGATCGACATGAATACAGAAATGGGATTATTATTAAAAATATTAATTTACCAAAACGTGATGAAAATAAAAAAATTTCTAAATGTGTTGAAATATCTGTATCATAAATAATATGACCTTGAAATCTTAAAATATTTATAATTAAATAAAAAAAAACAACAAAACAACAAAATATTTTTACCGATGATGATCAAGATGATATTTTTTTAATGTTATTGATATTGGTATACCTAATGGTAAATTAGGAAAAACATTCAATAAATGATTACATATTGGTCATGAATGACCAAATACTAAATTATGTTTTGATTCATATAATGTTAATGATAATGTATGATTTATAGTATCACCAATAATATAAACAAAAACAAATTAATTTCAACCATGATGATTCTTTTAAAAATATTGCAAGAATAATTTGAATAAATACTGATATAATTACTTGTATTGATATGCCAATCATGACCCATTAATTGTTTGATTTCAGGATATTTTTCTAAATCATTTAGACAAAAAAATTTATTTTCAAAAAAAAAACAAAATATTTAAATCATATTTACTACAAATTTATTTTCGACGTGTTACATGTGGTTCATCAGTATATACATAATAAAAAAAATTCATATGTTATTATACATTGTTTGATTATATCTATCTAAAAGTAAAATATACAAATTGTCTCTTTTCTTTTTTCTATAACTATATCAACATCATCTTTAGAGTTATTGTTTTCATTAATAATTAAGAAAATGTAATCCTTTTCAGATATTGTATTTTTTAAGAAAACAAAAGATTGTTGAAAATATAATTAATTTTGTCTTATCAATACTCTTTATTCGTGCCCTATCTTCAATATGCACCGCTCTTTAATCCATATTTGTGCTCGTTATCTGCCATTTTATATATGTCAATTAATCGAACAATGCATATCACATAGAAGCACTAAAAAAAAACATAATGTTGCAATAACTTCGAATGAAATCGATATGTGTCTTCACTGATTATTTTAATCTATCTATCAGAACTTACAATCTGGTGTTATAACGTAGTGAAAGGGCGTATCAAGAAACGAGTTGTCGTCTCTTTGTCTTGCCTTGATAATACATAAATCAATTTCGAAATTTTTTTACAAGGACATCTATTGTTGTAGCAAATGTTTCATCGAAAAATTTCTTAAAAACCGATATTCGCATCATTCCTATTCTTGTCTTTCAGGCTTTTGTTTTTAATGCAATTTATAGTGTATTACTTCCAGTATATGTCTCAATCAATGTTTGTAATGTGAATTCATCAATACACATTTATCAGATTTATTAGTGGATTAAGTTCTTTTGCGATTCTTGCATTAAATTTTATTCGTCTTTCACAAGTAGATCGAATATAAATTTAGTAATTAGTGACCAAATGTATCTCTTAATTTAGTATTAGTTTTACTGGTGACGACAAGATCTTTTCATTATTTACAGACCATTGAAATTCACAATAGAAACCGATTTCTATCTTTATCTAATGATGTCATTGTAAGATTCGTCTTCAATAAATTCAAATATATCTCATTATGTATTTTTTTTTTCGGAGTAGGATTTAAAAAAATGTTTGTAATCTCATCAAACTTCTATCCTATTTAGTTGTGTAAATTTTTTCCAAAAAAATGAAATAATATCTAAAAACTGTAAAAATAAAGACTTGACTTTATCAGCATGGCTTTTATTAAGCCAAAAACTATGGAAAAATGAGGAATAATAGCAGTATAAAATTGATTCAAGTTGTTCTATGAAATTTGACTTTCATAAATTAAATCGTGACATTGTCTGAATGGTTGATAGTAATTGAAAAAATATCCGAACAAGTATTAGTTTTTACTTAGTACTATACTTTTTCGAACAATTAACAATTTATAGTATCTTTCCATATTTACAAAATTTGTTTCCTGAATAGAAACTCTTGTTATCATAGTAAATATGAGGATTGATTTTTTCAATCGTGTTTGAACGTGATCATAGCCAATCACGAATTCCTATTAAAAGTTAATCCATCAAGGATCTTTTCTTGTTTCTTTCTGACTTATTCTTAAACAACATATCTTTTTAACCTCTTTTATTTTCTACCAATAGTTGCATAGTTAGAATTGAATTAAGTGAACGCCTCTGTTATAGCACGTGCTAGAGATGTACAATAAAACAGAAATTACGTTAAAGATTATCTCCATATGTGTTATTCGTATGCTTTTTTTTCTTCACGTATGTATAATGTTAGTTTTAATTATCTCTTTCCTTCGTTCGTTCTATCAAATTTTTTCTCTTGGTTTCTTTCTCTATTGACTATTTTTCTTTCATGTAATAACACACATATTTTTTTCATAAACATGCTAAAATCAGATATACCGTATGTACGTCAATGTGATATTGTGATAGACTCTTCGAAGAACATGCGTCACATTATAGATACATCAATAGATTGTCTTCTACTAAGTTTTCAATGACGATTTTGCTTTGCTCGTACACCTATAATACAACCAATGTAGTTGAATATGTCACATTTATATATTTACGCAAATGTATTTCTCAATAATTTCTTGATTAATTATTGTTCGAGAACACGTTACGAGATTAATGAATGATCAACATAAATGAATAAGTAATCATTATTTACTTTCAAAAGAAAGATGACACATGTGTTTGATATAGATTCGAACGACTCTTTCCAAAGCGTATCGCAACGTGCATCTTGTGTCATAGTTTAATGTATCGTCCGTTGTGTGTTGCAAAGTGTGACATATGTGTAACATAAAAGATATTAATGATAACAGAAACATTAAATCAATACTATAATTATGAGTTCAAACAAAAAAGATTTAAAGGAGTTGATACATATAATTATGACTCATGATCGGAAATCTTATATCCGTGTCTTTGATGGTGATCATGACAAAGGCAATTGGACATATCGAAAACAACATTCGTTATGATCATTGTTTACATTCCAGCGAAATAACTACTGTTTTGATCTCCATGTTTTCAAGTTATTTTCACACGGAATCAAAAATGAATCTTTAAATCTTATGTATCGTTTTTAATTGAATCACTCTCTCATGTTTTGTTGAGGTTGAAATGCATTTAAATTTTTTTTTGTTAATGTGAGGTCTCATTTAATTTTTTTGAGCAATTTCTAATATCAATGAATAGATTTTGTTGAGATCTATTCGTGGATATGACGTACACTCTACAAAATCATCTCTATGTTACACCACACGATGATTGGCATGATTTTAATGTAACGTTATCGAGTAACAGTATACATCTTAGCGTACTTTTTTTTTCTCTCCATTTTGTTGTCACAGGTGAGTGCTAAAGAAGATATACAATCCATTCTTTTGTATTCTAGATGTCTAGTAAAAAGTTTATTCCATTTCCAATAATATTGCTCACTGCATATCGAAACAACATCCCATAAATATTTAAAAATAGCAAAAACTGACTGTCGTAAGTTTTTTGTTAAAAATATATATACTTGAAATTATAGAATTTTTTTAATTAATGAACTTCTTTATCTCACAGCATGTTTAACGATACTTTCACGTATAATAAATATAATTATTGTGTCTATGTGTGCTTCTTTGTCATGCGTCTGCTTTCGATACAGCTTGTGCTGGTAAATCTGTACGTAAGAATTCTATTTATGAAATTAAATTTGTTATATAATAATAGAAAGTATAAGCAGAGTTCAATTGGAGTAATTTAAATAAGCAGTAAGCGGCAGAAAATAGTATAAATAAGACATTATACAATGTAAATACGGTTCTAATACTACGCATCGATTTTTGACGAAAACAACTCTAAACGATACTGTTCACGTATTGATAAAAAACGTAACGTAATCTGAGAAGACATATCAAGACCAAAAACCAGTGAAAAATAACTATCAGTCTTCTTCATTTACGGCAAGAATTGAGCCGTTTTGTAGCGGTTTAAAATCGTTTAAGCCATTGTTTCCGACGATCACTCGGATATAAACAAAGAAATAAATGTTGAAGAATTATTAAATGGTTTATCATTGGTAATCAGAAAAAAAGTGAACTTTTATGTTAACTTTGTACTTCCTTTTTTATCAGTTGATTCTTTTATTTTTATCATTAATACTCATTATCCATACAGCTATATTTCTCTTTGTTGAACAAAATAAAAATTTCATCTTTGTGATCGAATATATCAATGTAAATTTCCTTCTATATTTTTTTATTCGGTCAAATTTATACGAATGACAATACTGTTTTCATTTCCACAAAGATTCTTCATAGACCGATTCATGACAAGCACTATGAATATTATCAATCAATATTTGTTAGAAATGTATAGTATTATTCATACAAGACCTTGATATTTCGCATTCATTTCCAGATCGATCATTTCGACTATCGAAAAGGACGAGTTTAACGATTTGAAATAACTATAAAACGACTTAATTCCTATCGCAAATAGTAGCAAACGTTGGTCATTATTTTCACTGCTTTAAGATCTTAATACCTCATTCTAAATTACAGAATATCTTTCACTGTAAGGTAAACAACATCAATGAAGGTCATATTTTGACATAATATTATCTCATTGGTGCATATAGTTTTGTTTATCTACCTTTATTAGACTCTATATATATACTTTCTATTGTTTTCAAACGTTATTTTTTTCATAAATAAGATTCATAAATAAAAATTAATACGTACAAAATTAATATTCATAGTACAAATAGGAAAAAATAGTATCTATAACGTCATTAATTATATGTGGCAAAGTAGAATCAAAAATATTTGAAATAAATTTGGTGGCTAATACAAATACATGAAATTCAACAAGGATACCTTTCTGAATCAGAGAATTATTACAGTCGTTTTTCAATGTTTACGCATGTATATGAGCTATTATTTCGATATGAGGTAAGGAAGATAAGAATTGAAATTTGAATAAATTTCAAATGGAGCACCTAGAATACAAAATAATGGATCTTCTCAACTATGACATTTACTTATGAAGCCAACGAATGGAGAATATTAAAAAAAATACGCACTTGTTTTTGGATAACTTGATAATCCGAATCGTCTTGATCATTGTGTAGTATAATGCAAAGACATATTTGAAGAATGTACGTCATATCATCGAACACATTTCAATAAAATCTATCGATTGATGTATGAAATAATTCAAAAAAAGTTATTTGGCAATTCCCATTAACGAAAAAAAAAATTGAATCGTTTTTCAATGTCAGCAATGTATTTTAGAGAATTATTCAAATGTTGTCTACCTAGCAATTATAAATAAGATCAGCACGACTTATTCATTATAGGTCTTCAAAGACTGCTTAATGATAGTTTTAAGATATTTCTTGAACTCAATGTAAAAAAAAAATAGTATGAAAATATCGATAAAAAAGTTGTATGTAGCAGACACAGGTCATTCCACATGACATGAACATAAGT